CCCCCATGCAAATTTTTTAAAAAAATAACGTTAAACGAGGTTTTAATTTCAAGTCGCCTAAATAAATTTTATTTTGGAGAAATTTATTCTTTTAATTTCTTTATGTGAAATTTTTTGTTTTTTTTATTGATGCTAATGAACTTTATTAATATAAATAATATTATTGCTTGATGGTATAATTTTCGCTTGAGCGTATAATTTTTTATTTTTTAAATTTTTTTCACCGATTGAGAATAGATGCATGTAATTAAAACTTAGGGATTAATCTAATATGCTATATGAATTGTCACCGATTAAGAAATAACGTACTAGGGTCAATTAATATTCGAGGCAAATTGTGAGTGATGCAGGACATTTACATTGTCCTAATATTCTATATAAATTGTCAATAATCATCGTTCTGATCTAAAGGACCATTCTGTGGAACCAAAGTCACGTGACTCATACTGTCGGTTCACAGTTAACACATATTATTTATATTGGCCAATGACATTGACTATAATGCATCCATAATGGATGAGACCTAAAAGCTTTAGAGGTTTCCTCATCCGCTTTATCAATTAACCACTTACTTAGGTACATGCAAGGCTCGCTTGATGTAGCGCCCCACACCCAAACCTTATCTAAAGTCCAGAAATCATCGCTTGAATTTTTTATTGGCATTACTACAAACGGGCCTCTTCGACGATCCGTTGTTGGTGACCATCCTGCAGCAGTGAAACCGAATGTTGAACCATATGTAATCACCAAGTCATCACATAAACTAAGCAACTTCAAATCGATAAGAGCGCCTACTTCCGTACCAGTGTTCGAATTAAGAGGATTTGGAGCATCCATATCATCATCAGAATGAACTATCTTAATAGAATTGTTATTATAAGTAGGCATTTCACTAATTAAATTAACTAATTTTTTACGACTATCATTACTATCAGCCGCCACAAAGATAGTTATATTCTTGTTTTTTATTCCTAAAACCAACATTTTCACTACCAGACTGAAATGATCTATGGGTGTTTTCAAATTAGATATTGTCTTTTTCTCTCTTAAATGAACACCTATATTATAATCATTACAATTATTGTCCGCAAAAGTGTCTACTTGTTTGCTAATATTTGGGTGCAAACTTATTAATTTTAGGCTGATTGCCGTAAAAACTTTATAATCAGGTATTATTTTATCAAACCAGTTTTTATAATGAGGATTTGATATTATTGGAGGACATACGTAATCCCATGTGTAAATGTATAAAATATCTGTTTTCTCGTTGCTAAAGTTTCCCCTCGCCACCAACTGAAAATCATTATAATTATTAGCATAATGTAAATATCTTGAGGTACTATTTTTATATATGTTTGCAACAATTTTCCAGTCATATTCAAAGTCTTTTTCATAATAGCTTGAGAAATTATCATATTTATCAATAAAGAATAATCTATCAGACATTAGTGCATATATAAACCCACAAACCATTGCAGGTATACGGTTTCCGTATCCTTTCGTCAAGTCTGGTTGGGCAACAATAACTTTCGGAAGTTCTGATAAATTAGAGTTTGCAGATGATTTTAATAGCTCGGAAACTGCTCTATTATGCTTTTTAACATAATTATTATATACTAAGTCAAATTCTAAAAATTTTGCCTCCTCGTATTTCTTCATATTTTCTACATTCGTGTGATTCGTCGTATTCTCTACATTCGCGTGATTCGTCGTATTCTCTACATTCGTGTGATCAGTTGTATTCTCTATATTCTCTTCATTTGTAACATAATAAGTCTTGTTCGAGGTTGTTAAATAAAGTGATAAACTAAAAATGATGATTATCAAGAGAATACATAGTTTATGCATAATATGTTGCATAGTGAAAAATTATATTGTATCAGGTGAATGGAAAATATGGCGAATCAGTTATATTTTCTTCGTTGTTGGAGTTTGGTTTAGAGCTAAATAAAAAAAAAAGGTCAATTTTATAGCTGCACAGAGATAGTTACTTTTCATGCAATAACAAATGCTATACATATAAAATTTATTTGCGCAGCTAATCTAAAATCAAAAAAGGACATCAATATAAACATTGATAAGCATACGTATTGCTGTATTGCTATATTGATAAGGAAAATTTCATTCCCATAATTTTTTTATTACTATATTGATAAGGAAAATTTCATTCCCATCATTTTTTTATTACTTGTTTGCTTATTTAGACTACGCCACTCTTAAAATAAAATTTCAAAAATCGAAGTTTTTTAAAAATCGCCAATAACTTAAATTTTGTTTATAAAACTATCCTTTGTTTTAACAAAAAAAATTTCTTGTAAAATTTTAGTATAGGATACATTCTATTAGACCTTCATACTATTTCAACGATACTTCCATTGTTCCATTATTTGATCGAAACAAAATTTCTAGGCCAAGTTCGTCCAATAAAAAGCAGGATTTATCTTCGTCTATTAGGAACTGGTGGGAAAAATTAATTAACCCTTGTTCAATTTTGTTCTTTCGCGAACATTTTTTTTATTACTTGACTATCATCTTGTTTATTTCTTGGCTATCAATTATGGTTGTAATTATAATTTTTATATCCTTACAACACTTTTTAGGAATTAAGTCTACTAAGCAACCTTGAAGTTTTCATGCCTTTAATAATATCGGTTGAATTCATGGTCCTATTAATTTATGAACTACACTATACAGTTTGTCAAATCAAAATCTTATTTATTGTATGTTTTGCATCCAATTACAGCTTTGAATTTAATGGGCCTGACAATCTGAGCTAGAGATAGGAATTTAAGCGATATCTAAAATTTAATCTTGCATACTTTATAAATTATTACATAATATTAAGTAATTTAAAAGTCATCGATTACAAGTAAAATGAAAGGATCGATCATACCGGAATTAGCTATATTTGCTACACGAGTTATATTGGTACAACCTACTTTTGCTAAAGATTCTGGTCATTTATTGCAAATCTCCATTCACAAACTTATAAATGAACGTGCAACAAAAAATAACATGCATTCGATGGCATATTGCATAAGAAAGAAATAACTAGGGGCTCTGCATATACTAAACCTATGTCGGGTGCTATAGTAACGTCAATAATACAGATGCATAGATCGGCAAAATTAGAGTTTAAATCGGGATATTAACTAGGCGCTTGAGATGCTTAAAGGGAGTTAGTAATGAGTGTAATATATTGTATCGTACTAGTACAGATTTTGATA